TCACTCAGGAGGCGACAAGAAGAATCTTCAAACACATAAAAGAGAAAAAAGGACAAGGAGATAGAAAAAGTAACTAAAAGGATGTAGCTGAAGATTGTTTCAAAAAAACCAAAGAAATGGGAATTAACTAGGCAAAAAGCAAAGTGATTATAATTAATTAATTTGGTGAAATTACAGGAACGGTGTTGACTACAAGTGCACATATCATAACAGCGGTGATAGGATCAGGAGTGTTATCTTTGGCATGGGCTACAGCACAGTTGGGATGGATAGCAGGACCAGTTGCTCTCGTTGCTTTCTCAGTCATAACTTGGTTCACTTCTCTCCTTCTTGCTGACTGTTATCGCGCCCCTGATGGCTCTCGCAACTACACCTATATGGATGCTGTTCGTGCCCATCTCGGTATGAATTCTATGTACTGACAGTATAAAAAATATTTACATAATTGCGGAATTACGGATTGTGTTGTTTTCCTTTCCAACGCATCGTGTTATGTTGAATGTATTTATTTTAATTACGTGCTGAGATCAATGTGACATTTATCTTTCAGATGCATGTTTCTCGAGGTAAGAGTTTATTATACATGTTTTTGAGTAAATAATTAATGATTTCACTTGAGATACTTCTTAAGTTAGATTCGTAACGGCTTAAACAATCTAGTTTAGATACTTTTTTAGTTAAGTGATAATGGTCAACGGGAATATTTGACATTGTCTTTGAAATGCATCTTTGGTCAATGGTCATAGATGCGCAAAATCTAACAATTTTGAAGTGTTAAAAAACAAAAGAGAGAAAAATAACACTCATTTTTGTGATTTTATGTGACGACGTTTAACCAATGACAAGACATGGGGCTAAGAAACAAAATAAAACTTGAGCCACAATGTGGATCCTAATAAGTTATTTCATTCAAGATAAAATGAAAATAACAAAATTAAATAGTTTTAAAATATAAAAATATGTTTTAGACCATAATTAAAAAAAATATATGCCACATTAATCCTTTTAGACCAAAAATCTGGCACGTCAATTTCCCATGACAACAAAAAAGAGAAGGGTTGTTGGTTGTGGTCATTAATGACAATTGAGTATTCTTTGCATAAAGCCATTGTTGGAGATAAGGATTTCATTAATGATTCACTTATATATCTTCTTTCGTTATGTTTCTGCCTAGACTTTGCCGCCCCATTCTCTGCTTTTGACTACAATTTTAACCATTTCTCAACATGAGTTATTGTCCTTTTCTATTTTTTTTTAAAGAAAATTTGGATCGACAAGGGACAAATCTTAACATGGAGGAGGACATAAAATGTTTTAAGAGTCTATGAATAATGACACCCGAGTTCATATAAGTAGAATAAATGCACTCTAAATAGTTGGGTATTTCATGATAAAAAATGGCATGTAAACATACATACTAAAATACATGTATAACTAAGCAGAAGTGTCGATGATCATGAAAATACATTGTCAACATCAGGATCCAGGATTGTGTGCACTATTGTAAAAAGATGAATTTAAAATTTATATTTAATGGGTTCAACCTTTAAAAATTCTTTCATGAATCCATTACCATTTAGAAATTATAGGTTAAAATTAATTTTTTTTCTTATAATTTTAGTGATTTATAACATATGTAGCTATACTCCATATAAAAAATACTAAGATCATTGAACCATGCTACATCATCCACTGCTATTAGTTTTACTTATATAAAATTTTGTGATGACAAAGGGAAATCAAGGAATTCAACGTGTTAGATTTGAGAATGTGGAATGAATGAACCAATAGTAAAAGAAAAGGAAAAAAGAAAAATATACTTAATTAAAATGCAAGAGGGACACTAGACATGCACATCTAACTTCACTCGTAAATATGTGTCAATAATTATTGAACCATAGGACTCTTTGAGCTTGGGTGTACACGTCTATATTTAAATAATTTTAATAATAAGCATGGGTTCATGCGCCCTATGCTCCGACACAGATACGCCCCTGGCCAACGCTACAAATTGAGTGCTACCACTTAGCTGCACTTAGACTAAGAAGATATTAATTTTTTCTTTTTCTTAAAGAAGTAGTTCAAACACCCCTTATTAGAGATTTTGCACTGTATAAACGAGAATCAGATTCACAAATCTCTAAAAATATTTACTTTGCCGTATTATTTTCTATGTATGCAGGAGGAATGAAAGTACAGCTATGTGGAATAGCTCAATATAGTAATCTTGTTGGCATAACCATTGGATATGCAATCACTACATCCATCAGCATGGTGTAAGAATTTTTGTATAGTACATTTTAAGGCTTAATTTGTTTTGTAACACAATCATAATCTTTCATGATTAATTCTATGTTTTTCTTTCAGGGCAATTAAAAGATCCAATTGCTTTCATAAGCATGGTCATGCTGCTGGTTGTCATGAGTCAAACAATCCCTTCATAATTATATTTGGGATTTTCCAAATTATTCTAAGCCAAATCCCAAATTTTCACAAGCTTTCATTTCTCTCCCTCATTGCTGCTGTTATGTCCTTTGCTTACTCTTTCATTGGACTTGGTCTCTCTATTGCCAAGATTGCAAGTTAGTATCATTCCCAACATGTTCTATTCTTATTTTTAAGTTTTATATTCTATTCACTGACAGCATAATTTTTTTTACACAATCAACCTGCTGTAAAAGGTGATCTCATAATGTAAAAAGATTTTACTGTGTTACTGTATAAAAGCTAAAGCCTTTATTTTTTTCGTTTTTCTCTTGATGGTTTACAAATGTTTTTTTAATTTTGACATGGAAGATGATGGAGTAAATGGAAACACAAGCTTAACAGGAACAAGAATTGGAAAGGAATTGTCAGGCACAGACAAGATGTGGAACACCTTCTCTGCTCTTGGAGATATAGCCTTTGCCTATGCTTTCTCTACTGTTCTTATTGAAATTCAGGCAAAGCATCTTTCTTTTAACAATCACTAGCTAAGATCAGTTTTCTAATCTTTTTTTCTGGCTACTTAATGATGTTTTGTCAAATGACTCAACAGGACACACTGAAATCCCATCCAAGAGAGAATCAGTACATGAAAAGAGCTAGCTGTATTGGTATCTCTGTGTCAACAATATTTTACATGCTCTGTGGACTTATTGGCTATGCTGCATTTGGAAACAAAGCTCCTGGAAACTTTTTAACAGGATTCGGTTTCTATGAACCTTTCTGGCTTGTTGATTTCGCTAATGTCTGCATTGTCGTTCATCTTGTTGGAGCTTACCAGGTAACATCAATCATAACAAACACGTCTTGTAGTTCTTCTTTTCTTATCTTTTTTTCTACCAGCACAGATACCGGGTAAATCTAGCCCGGTGACTAGGAATGTGTTTGTCAATGTACTGAAGTGATGAGCTCGGAAAGAGGAGTCCTTAGGCAGATGGAATAAATCACCTACTATATTTTGATTCTGCTGAGATTTGAACCCTGGTCTCCCATGGTTTCTGTCCCACTTCATTGACCGCTAGGCCGTACCCTTGGTGCAGACGTGACACGTCTAGTGTTTCTCATTACAGAAAAGCTTAAATCCAATGTCAAGCTCAGTTTGACAATATGTTTGCAGGTGTTCTGTCAACCAATATTTGCATTTGTAGAAGGTTGGAGCAAACAGAAATGGCCAGAAAGTAAATTCATAACAAGAGAATACATGATTAACCTTTCACCTTTGGGGCTGTTCCCTTTCAGTTTTTACAGGCTGGTGTGGAGAACTGCATATGTGATATTCACAACCATATTAGCCATGCTATTTCCATTCTTCAACGATTTCGTCGGGCTTCTGGGAGCAGCCTCATTTTGGCCACTCACTGTCTATTTCCCAATTCAGATGTACATTGCACAAGCCAGGATTCCTAAATATTCATTTACCTGGATTTGGTTGAAGATATTGAGTCTTGTTTGCTTGATTATCTCACTCCTTGCTGCTGCTGGATCTGTTCAAGGCCTTATCAAGTCTCTTCAGAAATTCCAGCTCTTCAAATCTGAGTCTTGAAGTTCCTGTGGCTAATGTTGTATAGAATAAGGAAGGAAGAAAAAACCTCCATCTTTCAACCTTCCTTTTCTTTTATTTAGTGACATGCAGGCCCTTACTTATTAAAGGCATACACATTTGCACTATGTTGTAAAACTTATTCCTAGCTTTGGTTTACAAAATTGCAATAGTTTTCATACAGTTATTACTATGTTGCTAATTGCAATAGGTTTCAATTGGATCCAATGATATGAGATCATACTTTCTTGCACACAGATATTATATGTGTATATGCATGGGTTTCAACTCCACTCTGCCCAATAACTACTAGGACTATTATATTATTATGAACTTAATTTGACCATTTACAAACAAATTATCTCCCTTTTAAACATTTCCCTAAACACTTTATAATCTGTTCAAACTTTTCTGTTTTAGTATCGTCCAATTGGGATGAGAAAAGTACTCCCTCCGTTTCAATTTATGTGAACCCACTTGACTTGGCACAAAGTTTAAGAAAAGAGCGAAGACTTTTGAACTTGTGTAAAATGAGGCACATATATTTTGTGTGGCTATAAATCATTGCATAAAGGTAAATTACTTCCAAATAGGGAAAGGGGCATTCTTTTTGGCACGGACTAAAAAGGAAATATATTCACATAAATTGAAACGGAGGGAGTAGTATTTTAGGACTGTGATGAATACCTTCAATTGATAAATTGATTTGAAACCTATTTCAGAATGAAGTTTTGACATTCAATACTATAACTATGGCATTACAATTTCAAGTGCCATCAAGTACATAGAATCACTCATATCATTGAACCAAGTGATGTTTCACAAATTGTACGACGAACGCAGAATAACATCATTAATATTCACTCTTTACTACTATGTTGTCAGCTTGAAACTAGAAAACTTTATGTCAGACTGGTGAGATATATTTCAAGGTCGAATTCTGCGAAGGGAAAATTAACAGCAACTGAGACTTTCATACTCGTCTAACTCGTGGGCTATCATATCAAGCTCGACTTCTAAAGAATTACTGGAGACTTCCCATCAAAGGGATCAATATACAGAATATACAGTATGTGCTTCGGAATAGGAAATCTTATCTCGTTCACATTTTTTACAAATTTTACAGTCATAGAAATAAGATTTCTCAGTCAACATGATTATCTTCTAGCTATCACGGTAGTGTCCAACCAGAAAATGATAAGGTAAATATACCGAGGATAAGCAATGGAAACCTTTACTTAACACTTGAACGGTCTAACTTCATGAAACAAGCAGCTACTCAATTTAGAGGTGGAGCTGTCTGTGATATCCTCTCTTCTTCGAGTAGTACATAAGGATCAATATATGGTGGTGGACCAAGTCTGTTGCTTGCATCGTGGACAAATTGAGGTCCAAAATACTGCCGAAAGAGAAGGAAGCAGTCAATGGTAAATCAGGAACAAAAATCAAACTAGCAGCTGATCATAATACATCCAAAAGCATAAGAAATGTGAATTAATAGGGTCAAACACGCTTCAAATCTAACCTCCACAAAACCAAATAACACGTGAGGTATGTTCAACTCATGCACCTTTTTAGTTTCTTTTTTTGAATTCTTTTTAGGTATAATTGCTTTTTCCCCTGCTTTCTTGAGGTCCAATACACGTAAGGTATAATTGCTTTTTCCCCTGCTTTCTTGGAGGTCCAAATCATGCCATTTGTGATCCCCAACTTTTACAATATATGTGTAGCAATTCAGATTAACAGATACTCATAACATAGTTTGACATTGCAGTCAATGAGAATGTGATCTATTAGATTTGTTTGGCCACATTTTGCTAGATATTTTTGCTATAGCTCGTCTTTCTTTTTTATTTTTTGCGCTTTAACTCATCATCTCTAATTTTTTCCTACTCAGAATCATCATAATACCTCAAAGCAATCATGCAATGTTTCACAACTATTAGATAAGTTTATTTATTTTCTGATGAGGTAAAGCCCATCCCCCAAATTACCCCTAACTAAATAGCCCCTTCACAATATGTGCAAGACTGAAGTAGAGGATGTCAACCAGTTATTTCTTAACTGCACAGTTGTCAGGATGACACATCCTCACTATTTTTGGTATTCATTCGGTGACATCATACTCCGTAAAGACAGCTTCTACCATTTGGGGGTTGTGGAAAGTGAAAAAAACAGTTAGGAGCATATGGAAAAAATGACCCCTGCTGGTGTTTTAGATGCTATGGAAAGAAAGAAACTACAGATGCTTCTATGGAAAGGCTTTGCAGTTTGCACATTACCCGGCTGAAGTATAGATGTTAAACAAATCTTTTTTTGTTGGACAAAACTGAATTATGTTAAAGATGTAAATCAGCTAATAGATTCTGTTGGTTCTCTTTATTTTTGTTGAGAGCCTTATACTTTTGTAACTTTGTGCTTTTGCATCTTGTGGATCGTCAATAAAAGCCTTACTTCATCCCAAAAAAGGGGCAGATGAACAACTAAACAAGTATCATACAAGAACAAACATCTGATTTTCTTCTTCTTCGGTGATTTTTGAAAGTCATGCCAGAATATAGATAAGCAGCCCAAAAACCTTGGTATAGCAGAAAGATAAAATACACAAGTTAACTAATTGCAGTAGCCTCTTTAAAATAAAGACATCAGAAACATGCACGCCAAAGATCACCGAAATTAATTACCAGGTAAACAGCAGAGAAGGATGCAATAGTTGCGAGGATCAACGGCCAAAATGCCAAAAAAAATGTTCCCCCAAGAGTAAGCAACAGTTTTGCCCGTGGAATCAAACCCTACACAACAAACAAATAAAGATAAGCAACAGTTTTGCCCGTGGAATCAAACCCTACACAACAAACAAATAAAGATGTCTGATCATTAGTTATAACCCCATTTACAACATAAATTATGTCAACTCATTAAAATGTATAAAACAATATAGTTAATAACTCATTGCACATCTTTCATATGATTGTTTTCTGTAAAGTTGATTACTGCAACTCCTGTCCCAAAATGGCAAGGCTCTACTTTTCCTTCTTGGTAAGTCATACTTCTTAAATAAATTTTTCCTCTATTTTATTCTTCAAAATATATCAAGTCAACAATGCGACAAAAAATTCAAGGTGAAGGGAGAAACTCAATGTTATCAGGTCAAGAACCAATGAGAATGCATACTAACAATGCACGACATTATTGATCATGTGGAACTAAATTCATATAATGTATAAGGAGGAGGAATTCTGCCGACCTCAAGGCCTTCACTATTCAGTGCCATAGACTGCTCTCTTTGATTAGTCAAATTTCTTCCAGAATCTGTTGACAGCGCATTTCTCCGATAAAATCCTCCATCTTCTTCCCTAGATATTGTCTCCTCGTCTTCTTTAAGGTTTGTGTTTGTCTCCTCAAGCAATGAAGTTGGAGCCATGCCACGTCTTCTCAACTCTTTCATAAACAATGACTCTGGAGGCTCTTCACCTATGAAGAACCAACACTGGAGTTGAGATTCTTCTTAAATAAATCAAGAGTATATTCAAGTAAAAGCTACAACACAAAATGGAGGCGTCACGGTAGTTGAGCGATTGGCTATGTTCATTAGGCAAGTCAATCCATTCAACCACAACCAATAAAATTCAGAAATTTATGCCAGAGTTGCTGCAAACTTTCAAAGACTTGACTTTTGTATTTGAATGCATTTTTAAGGGATTCAACCATAAGATATGTAGGAGTTTCCCAGCACAAGCTGAATTGTTCAACTCTTATGGAATAGATCAACGGAAGATAAGCCACCTAATAGCGGCCCTTCCAATATTTAATTCTCTGTTAACGCTTTCCCTAAAAGGGCAGCCGGTGCACTAAGGTCCCGCTATGTGCGGGGTCCGGGAAATGGCCGGACTACAAAGGTCCATTGTACGCAGCCTTACCCTGCATTTCTGCAAGAGGCTGTTTCCTCGGGTTGAACCCGTGATCTCCTGGTCACATCACACTCATGTTCTTTTCCTGAAATACTTCAAATACTTCTGTTTTCTCTTAATTCTCACGGCCGGGACAATCAATCCATTGAACCTCATAAAGAGAGGCAAATCTCCTTTTTGCAATCAATTAACTGATGTACTTCACTTTAACTATGACAACTTGGTTTCTAATCTAGCCACTAATAATTAACCTCTCAATTTTCATCAAACCCAATATCCCCAAGAATTAGTGGGAAAAATGGAACTGGAGCAGCAAGAATATGCTAGAAACGGCATCATGTTACACACACACACACACAAACACAAAAGTTATCATATCCAATACCACTTAAAAAACAAGGCGTCTCCTGATCACAAAAAAAAAGAGGCTTTTGGAAACAAATGCCGAGTTAGAGATTACCATTACTACTCTGGTTTCCACTGTCTTGAACTCTACACCAAACCCTAAACTTTGTATCAGCAAATGTATTCAAGATTGGATTTTTCCTCTGAAACCTCACACGCAGAAACCTCCTTCGGACCATGGTGCTAAAATCAGGATTGGATTGAGAAAATGAGAATGGAGACTTCAATAACTGGAAAGATGCCATTTTTAGTTAATCAAATTTCCTCCAAATGAAATTAAAATATTAAAATTCCATTACAGAAACTTTAGCTGTAGTAGAAGCTAGAATTCAAGAAGCTTCACTTCATTAGTTAAACGGCGGCAGAGGATTACTGTTTGTCACTCAACCTGTGAGGTGTACCTTGGAATTTTTCAGCAATGTGTTGGCAATTTTGTAGCCATAATATAACTAGAGCTGAGCAATTATCATCTGTGTCGCCATCCTAGATAAATTACTTACGCTGCACCTAACCAACCAACCAGCTTTTCTTTTCTTGCAAAAGTCTCCAAAAATTGTTGTCATGTTATTTCTAGGCGTGCCAATGAATATTTAAAAACCGACTAAATTGATCAAATCGAACCGAATCGAACCGATTTTTAGGTTTTTTAAATAAAACCATAGGTTTTTACATAAATCTATAACCGTACCGATAATTAGGGTAGATTTTTTATTTTACAAAAATAAACCAAAAAACTACGAACCGTACAAAATAAATCTACATGTGAAAAATCGAATGTTATCATTTCCGATACGTAGACCAAATAATACAATGCAAGCAAAAGTTCCTAGATTCATGGAGACAGACGCCATCCTATGAGGCAGATTCGTTCCTCCAAAGTGGATGATTGCTCCTCTTTGGCAATCTATCAAGATTCTTCAAGTGTCTCAGGTCCCAGAAGTGCATGATAAATGCCGCCAAAGCCCAATACTGCAGAAAGATTTGAACAATGAAAATAGATGGCGAGTGCCTGATCGAATTGATCAGGTCATCAAAAGTGTTTGGTTTCAGAAGATGGAATGTCTAATGTTTTTTCACCCGGAGAACTTATTGGATTATATCTACACATTAAGTTTAAAAATAATAAAAAATTAAATTTTTCCTTGGGCGTTGGAATTATGAAACAGTTACAAGCCACAAGTAATTTAAACTCAAAATCCTAATTCCCAAACCTATTATGCTACTCCTATTGAAACTAAATTATTTCCAGCACAGTCACTAGTAAGATTAAAGTATTCTAGCGATTATGAGTTGCAAACTACAATATGTTGAATATGTTTCCTTTCATATGATTTAGATTTATCTTTTTGAATATATATATCTTTCACCTTTTCTTAATTTATCACTCTTTAAATAGTAAAAGTGTTTAGAGAGTTTTGCCAAGTCCTATACAAGTATATGTTTTATTGCATTCTACATCTAATAGTGAATTTTATATGACATTAAAAAAATATCGAAAATTAATCGAACCGTACCACTTTTGAAGACAAACCGACATGATTGGGATGGTTTCGAAAAATCTAATTTTTATTATACATAATAGAATAATCGAAAAATTGGTATGGTACAAAATTTATAAAATAACCGGCCGAACAGAACCATAGACACTCCTAGTTCTTTCTTATATTCCTTTTTTTCTTTTAATAGTATTTCAAATAATTTTGAAGATATTTATTCACTATTTTGTGGTAAAAATTTCACGCCCTATTTTTTTGAATAAGAATGCCGGACTTTGAAATATAAGAGGTGCAATATTTACATAAAATTACTCTAAATGTAATTTTTTTATAAAGCGGTCGCTGCAAATATATTCCGGTTAACAAGTCCGGAGTCGAATTCCACAAGGAATTAACCTATCAATCACAACTATCGGACTTACACAAATTCACGTATTCAATCTTCGGAAATATTTGAGTAATAGATTGGATGTTTACTAACTAAAGATTACGTAATGTAAATGCAATAATTAAAAACTAACTACGAACGGGTTGTAGACAAGAATTGGAATGATCTAAGGTTCTGATTTCATCTATTGTCGGTCCTTTCCGCTACGTTTGCTATAAATTTGCCTAAGTCTTCTCTATCGATCATGAGCACTCTGACTGTCGTAACTCTCTCCCGAGTAATTACAACAATATATAGACATATTCTCCCGAATTACGCTAGCTAGCCTTAAATACAGCTCATTTAGATTGGACCCAAGGTTTCGTTATCCCTAATCTCACCTTTAAACCATTCGTATTGATCCTGCATATACGTTAGGAGTGGTGTTGTTCAACAGCTACCTAAATATGCACTCTCTCCCGAGTAATGCATACTAAATAGGCACAGTCGATTGAGGGCCCTTCAATCAACAGCAATCACAATATAGTTGAACAAATAGAGAAAATACTATGGCAAATCTATATTAACATAACAAGAAAATCATCTTCCAGTATGTTCCATCAAAACCCTAGATTAGGAGTTTAGCTATGCATAATTGTTTTCACAATCATAACAATAGAATTCATCATCAATGATAAAAACAACAGGAAGAAAGGTAAAAACTCTATGCCGAATCTTCTGTCTTGCTCTTGTATGTTCTTGCCTTCAAAATCCTTCCAAAAACCAAGATACCCTCTTTTTGGGCGAGCTGGGCTTCATATAGGTCAAGGAGAGTCGCCTCTGAACTTACAAATTTACCCCTGAAATAAAAATTCTCGGAGAGACGTACGCGGTTGCGGATCAACCGCGGATGGACCGCGCATATTTCCCCTTGTTCTGCCTGACGAGCGCGACCGCTGATCGACCGCGCACCTGGAGGAGATTTCTGCCTTCAGTCTTCTTTTGCGCGCGCCCACCTCCGATTGGCCTTCATTGCTCCATATTAACTCCAAAACACTCTTTAATGTCCTCATAGCCCGGAACAGCTCCTGTAAAAAAAAAATTCTTAATTAGAGCAATTTGTCATCATTTAATATCAATAAAGTGCAACTAAGTTGGAACGTAAATGGTAGCTAAACTACATAATTATAGCCTACTATCAAAAGCTATTAATAAAGTGAGGTCAAAAAAATCATAGTAAAAAGAGCTGTTTTGATTCTCTACATTAATTCGTAGACATTTCTGAAAATCTTTAGTTCAAATTTTAAACTATGAATTAATTTGTGTTGTTATTGTCTTAAGTCAGAAAATTGATTAGATTGACCAACAAACACCAATAATATAACCAGTGAAATTTTACAACCGGAGCTGAGGAGAGTAGTGCGTATGTAGTCTTACCCTTATTTTTGTGAGGTGGAGAGCTTGTTTTCGATAGACCCTCGACTCAAGAAAAGCATAATCCCAGCAATCATTAAAAGGATAAACAAAGCAATAATAACAACAAAAAATACAAGATAACCGAATCAAGAACTAACAAATAATAGAAAACTTTGAACTAAGAAAGTATAGGGGTATTTTTAATACTACCAGTATGCCAAAGAGAAACGTGCCATTACCTACTAACCTACTACCTTAATCCTCGACCTCTACACCCTTCTTTATTAGATTGAGCCCTGATAAATAAAAAAATTCACATATATTGGGAGAGAGAAAGTATTAGTCTGACATTGTAATTTTATCACATATCCAGAAGATGAAGGTAACAGAAATGAGGATGTTGAGGTGGATGTGCGGGCATACTATGATGGATAAGATTAGGAATGATGATCTTCGGGAGAAGGTGTGCGGGGCTCCCATTGACGATAAAATGCGGGAAGCGAGGCTCAGATGGTTCGGGCATGTTCAGAGGAGAAGCCCAGATGCTCCGGTAAGGAGGTGCGAACGGCTGGTTGTGGAGGGCACGAGAAGAGGTAGAGGGCGGCCTAAGAAGTATTGAGGAGAGGTGATTAGACAGGATATGGCGAGACTTCAGATTTCCGAGGACATGGCACTTGATAGGAACACGTGGAGGTCGAGTATTAGAGTTGTAGGGTAGGAGGTAGTTGAGTCTTGCTTTATGTCATGAGTTTGTGAGTCTAAGTCTGGTAGGTATACTATTTCGCTTTTGCTTTGTATCTTTCTTCTTGATTGCATGGTGTTCCTATTTTTCATATTATTTCTGTGTTGTTGCTGATATTGTCCCCTTTTGTCTTTTTGTCTTCTTGAGCCGAGGGTCTTTCGGAAATAGTCCCTCTACTCCTTCGGGGTAGGGGTAAGGTCTGCGTACACACTACCCTCCCCAAACCCCACTAATGGAATTTCACTGGATCGTTGTTGTTGTTGTTATATTTCATAAGATATTTTTTATTACATTTCGGGGGTAGGGGAGGGAAAATGGAGGAATGGATTACAAGATAAAGAAATCAAACTCTCGCCAACAAGCTAAAATTTAGACAGCCAACTAACAACAACAACAAAAAACTTAGTGTAATTTCACAAGTGAGGTCTGGGGAGGATAGAATAGACCTTATCCCCTACCTTCAAAAAAGCTATCAACTCAGCTAATAAGATTCCTCATTATTATAATATTTACAATTTCCATCTAATAAGTTACTATTATATTTAGATGTAAGACCTAACTTTCAAGAAAGGAGAAACGGAGGGCCAGAGATGCAAATATGCACATGTTTCAGTTAATAAATCATGAAAACAAATGGATTAAAATACATGTCTTTCATTTGTTTGACACCTCCAAGCAAACAAAATATACTAAAGAAAGAAAAAGTTTAACAATTGGCTGTATTTGTTTAATTTAACTACCACACAACATAAACCAGTTTTGATGATTCCTCACCAGTCACCATCACCAATTGCAATTGTTTAGATCTGACTATTGCATTGTTGTAATCACAATCATTCAATCATATTTTATCCTAAACGATTAGTTACAAATTATTGTACGAAAAGAATAGATATTATTGTATTTGATTGATATTCTTGCTAAGATAAAATATATAATTGCTTCTTTGGACTCACCATCTGTCTATGACAAAACAATAGTAATACTAGATTCGGATATATGTAGCAATTATAGAAAGAAAATGTTTTTTCTTTTCATAAGAAAACGATCTTTCAAATTTATATTTTATGTGAGAAATTTTACAATAGCCGTCATACTCAACAACCATAGTGTATTGATCACGCCCAACTATGCCTTATAAAAAGAACAACGCGGTCGCTGCAAATATATTCTGGTTAACAAGTCCGGAATCGAATCCCACAGGGAATTAACCTATCAATCACAACTATTGGACTCACAGAAATTCACGTATTCAATCTTTAGAGATATTTGAGTAACAAATTGGGTGTTTATTAACTAAGTATTACGTAGTAAAAAAATGCAGTAATTAAGAACTAACTATAAACGATTTGTAAGCAAGAATGGGAATGATCTAAGGTTATGATTTTCCCTATTGTCGGAATCCTT